CAAAAGTGGTACTAAGAGGGAAACATTTTTTTGAGGCCTAGCTCAAAAAACAAGAAAAATCTCAATCTAACACCACACCTAAAATAACTAGAAAAGAACAAATGAAGCCAAAAATCAGTCAGAGGAGGGAAATAAAAATCAGAGTGCAAATTAGAAATAGAGACTAAAAAGACAACAGAAAGGATCAATGAAACTAAGACCCGGTTTTTTGAAAAGATAAACAAAATTGACAAACCCTTAGCTGGACTCACTAAGAAAATAAGAGGAGGCTCAAATAAGTAAAATCAGAAATGAAAAGAGGAGCAATTACAAAGGAGACCACAGAAATAAAGGATTATAAGAGAAAACTATGAAAAAGTATATACCAACAAATCAGAGAACCTAGAAGAAATTGATAAATTCTTAGAATTGTATAAACTCCCAAAACTCAATCAATAGGAAATAGAGAATCTGAATAGACCAATCACAATAAAAAGATTTAAATAGTAATCAAAAACCTCCCAAAAAATAAAAGTTCAGGACTGTAAACCTTCTCTGTGAATTTTACCAAACATTCAAAGATTTAATACCTATCCTTCTCAAATTCTTCAAAAAAACTGAAGACATGGGGATGCTTCCTAGCTCATTTTACAAGGTTAACATTACCCTGATCCTGAAATCATACAGTGACAGATAAAAAGAAAAATTACAGGCCAATATCACTGATGAACATAGATGCAAAAATCCTCAACAAAATATTAGCAAATCAAATACAACAATACACTAAAAGCCTCATACACCACGATGAAGTGTGATTTATTTCTGGGATGCAGGGATGTTCAACATCTGCAGATCAATCAATGTGATACACCAGATTAACAAAATGAGGACTAAAAGTCACATGATCATCTCAATAGATGCAAAGAAAGCATTTGACAAGATTCAACATCCATTTATGATAAAAACTCTATATAAAATGGTTACAGAAGGAAAGTGCCTCAACATAATAAAGGACACATATGACAAACCCACAGCTAACATCATACTCAGTGGTGAAAAACAAAGCTATTCCTCTAAGAACAGGAACAAGACAAGGATGCCCATTTTCACCACTTTTATTCAACATAGTATTGGAAGTCCTAGTCAGAGCAATTATGCAAGAAAAACAAATAAAAGGTATCCAAATTGGAAAAGAAGTAAAACTTTCACTATTTGCAGATGATATGATTTTATATATAGAAAACTCTAAATAAACCACCAAAAAACTATTAGAAATAATTAACAAATACAGTAAAGTTGCAGGGTACAAAATCAACCTACAAAAACGAGTTGCATTTCTATACACTAACAATGAACTAGCAGAAAGAGAAATCAATACAATCCCATTTACAATCACAATAAAAAGAAAAGACATGCCTAGGAATAAATTTAACCAAGGAGGTGAAAGACTTGTACACTGAAAACTATAAGACATTATTGAAAGAAACTGAAGATGACACAAAGAAATGGAAAGATATTCCATGCCCATGGACTGGAAGAATAAACATAGTTAAAATGTCCATGTTAACTAAAGCAATCTACAGATTCAATGCAACCCCCATCAAAATCCCAAGAACGCTTCTCATGGAAAGAGAACAAAGAATCCTAAAATCTATATGGAACAAGAAAAGACCCCAAATAGACAAAGGAATCCTGAGAAAAAAGAACAAAGCTGGAAGTATCACACACCCTGATCTCAAAATATACTACAAACCTATAGTAATCAAAACAGTTTGGTGCAGGCAGAAAAAACACACAGAGATCACTGGAACAGAACTGAGAGCCCAGAAATAAATCAACACATTTATGACAGCTAATTTTTGACAATGGGGGCAAGAACGTACAATGGGGAAAGTCTCTTCAGTAAAGGGTGTTAGGAAAACTGAAGAGCCACATGTGAAAGAAAGAAGGTAGACTATTACCTTATACCATACACAAAAATTAACTAAAAATAGATTAAAGACTTAAATGTAAGATGTGAAACCATAAAACTCCTAGAGGAAAACATTGGCAGTATGCTCTTTGACATCAGCCTTAGCAGCATCTTTTTGAATATGTCTCCTCAGAGAAGGGAAACAAAAGAAAAAAATAAACAAATGGGACTATATCAAACTAAAAAGCTCCTTCATGGGAAAAGAAACCATCAACAAAATGAAAAGACAGCCTACTGACTGTGAGAAGACATTTACAATTCATATATTCAATAAGGGGTTAATATCCAAAATATATAAAGGACTCATACAACTCAACAAGAAAAACAGCCCAATTAAAAAATGGAGGAGCTGAACAGACATGTTTCCAGAGAAGATACACAGATGGCCAACAGATATGTGAAAAGATGCATTTTTAGGGAAATGCAAATCAAAACCACAATGAGATATCACCTCACGTCAGAATGAGGTATCGTCACCCGTCAGAATGGCTCTTCTTAAAAAGACAAGAAATAACAAGTTAGAGAGGATGTTGAGAATAGGGAACCCTCATACATTGCTGGTGGGAAAGTAAATTGATGCAGCCACTATGGAAAACAGTATGGAGGGTACTCAAAAAATTTAAGATAGAACTATCATATGACTCAGCTATTCCATTTCTGGGTATTTATCCAAAGAACACAAAAACACTAATTTTAAAAATTTATATACACTCCTATGTTCCTTGTAGCATTATTTATAATAGTCAAGATTCGGAAACAACCTAAGAGCCCATTGACAGATAAATGAATAAAGAAGATGTAGTGCATCTATACAATGGAATACTACCCAGCCATAAAAAAGATGAAGTCTTGCCATTTGCAACAACATGGATGGACCCTGATGGTATTACACTAAGCAAAATAAATCATACGGAGATAGACAAATACTGTATGATTTCACTCATACAGTGGAAGATAAAACAACAACAAACAGACAAACAAATAGGTAAAGAACAGATTGGTGGTTACCAGAGGGGAAGAGGGGTTTAGGGCAGGCAAAAGGGGTAAAGGGGCACATTGTATGGTGATGGATGGCAACTAGACTTTCGGTGGTGAACACAATGTAGTGTATACAGAAGTCGAAATATAGTGATAAACACCTGAAAACTTATATAATGTTATAAACCACTGTTACCTCAAAAAAATGTACATACCTCAATTAAAAAAACTTTATTTCTAAAAAATGCTAACCATCAAACCCCCCCCCAAAAAAAAACTCATATTCTAGTTCCCCAACTAACACTATGGGAGAAAATTATAGCCAAAGCCTTTTCAATAAATGCAGAGTAGGTTCCTAATCTAGTTCTACTATTATAGAAGACAAACTAAAAACATTTTTTGTGGAGATAACATACTATCGTACAAAGATAGAGGATCATGTAATACTCCTTAATGTCAATAGGTAAGTAACACAGCAAATAAAGAAGAACCACTAAACGTTATCTTAAAAGTTCTTATAACAGTTTGCTTTTTCATGAGCCTTGTCTATCCAGGCAATGTTAACTAGAAAACAAAAAAAATTATCTGAATGATGTGAGGAAATGATTACTTTGCCCCAACACCTCCACACATTTAAGGCAAATATGCTCCCATGCTCATGAAGTTATCAATATAGTCTTCCCAGTTCTCTATTTCATCTCTCCTCTGGCAGGGACTGTCTGCACATGAGAATGGACCACAACCTGACCTTTATAGTGACTGCTAATCATCCTAAAGCCTGGTGGCCTTTGGTCCACCTGGGCCCTTTGGCCTACTTGGCACAGTTTAATACCCATGTGGATGGGTCATGGTCTGATTGCACATGAAAGCATGTCAGGATGTTTCCTGTTTTTCGCTGCTAGCATTTCATAACTAACAAAAGCATGACCTGATTTGGTACCAAAAAACTTTATTTCTGTATAAATGTATCTTGCTTTTCAGTTGGATTCTTCTCAGTGAATATGAGATAGACACTATGCGGGGAGAGGAAACAGCTTTTTATGATCACTGGAAAATTTGAAAGTTTATGGTTGGTGATTATCATATTTGTTTTGTTTAGAGTTACTGTCTTAAAATCCTGTATTCTGATATTTTGTCCTGGCATGACATCTCTTGGTGTTGCACTACCATTTTGATGAAACGTAAGATGATCACTCTTGACTATTATAAAATCACCCTTTTGACGGTTTTGGTAAACTGCACATCTGTAAGATTTATAAGATATTCAGGAAGTGCTTGTTGCTTCAATTAGGAGTTTCAAAGAAACTCACCTCTAACCATCAAATTTATTTTAAGTAGCCTAGACAATAAGATCAAACTTGGACAAAGGTGTTACCTTATACATTTATCTTAAAAGATACAACTTGAAACTTTCCAGTTTTCAGAGAAATACGGCTGTTTCAAATTGAATAGTCTTACAATGCTCTATTACGTTTTCATTACAAAGAATAAATCTCAAAAATATTTGCCTTTCTACCTTTCTAGGCTCTGACTTTTGTCTCCAACCACAAAGATGAAGAAAATAAATGAAGAGGTCATTAAATTAGGAATTTATAAAGATTTCTCTCTCTCCATTGAATCACTTGTTTTGCAAGTGACATTTTAAATTCCAGAATAGTTTAGGGCAGGTATGGGACAAAGTTGTTTCTAAACGTCAAGTGGTCAGCTTTGCAAAACAGTAACAAAAGGATTTGCACAATATATTTGAAGAGAATAATGAAGTTTTATTAAACATCAATTTAAAAATATATTTAAACTGGTGGAGAATTTGCTTTCCTGAAACTGCGTACCCATTTCAATAACAATTCTCTTTCCATTAACAAATTAATGAGGCCCAACTCTTTCCACAGTGAAATATACACTTGAGTAAAACTCACTGATAAAGTAATCCCTTGAGATCTTGATTATCTTTTATTTTATTTCAGAACTCCTAATCTATGACATTAATTCAGGGTATGTGGAAATATATAAGACAGTGTTCTTTTTCATTCTAAAGTAAGTAACGAATTTAACTGGTCTTAAAGAAACTTACCACAGAGTTCTTCTGTGTCAAGATTGCTGAAAAGATAAAAAGAAAAAGTATTACTTTGGTAATATTTAAGTTTTTAAATAGTTAAATACAGTTATTCCACCAATCTATATTATGTTAACAGATGATGTGTGGTTATGGTATTTCTCTTATAAATTCTACATTGTTTAAATAGTCAATAAGTTATTAACAATGATTATGTCAGATTCTGTCTTTGAACAAATAATCCCTGGGATTTGTGTGTCCCCCAGTATCATGCTGGGGGAATATTGCATGATGGTGAAGAATGTAGGCTCCAGAGGCAGAATGTCTGAGTTCAAATCCTGACTCTACCATTTACCATCTATGTGACCCTAAGTACCCTGGGTACTTCATGTCTCTGTGTCTCAAATTCTCAGCCCCAAGATGAGGATAATAATAATTTCTGTTTCATAGGGATGCCACAGTATTTAAATGAGTTAATACACATAAAGCAGCTAAAGGACTAACTACCAAAAAGTAAGCACTTTAATAAATGTTAGCTATCATGATTCCTGATATGGTAGAACTGCTAAAACCTCCAAATCTAAATCAATCTTTGAGGCAAGTTTGATTCAATGCTTATTTCAAATGGTTTCTAGCACATAACAAAGAGTTACGTGGCTCAATATTTACATGTATACTATAGCCACTCATTACTCTTATGAAGATAAATGCAAAACCTCCAGATGAAATGTTAGCAGATGTAATACATTACCATAAGAATAATGCCTTGACCGAGGAAGATATGGTACAGGAATGTAAAAATGGTCCAAAATCAAGCAATAAATCAATATAATCTATTAATCATAACTAAAAGGAGAAAAACCATCATAGTAACAAAACTAAATGGAAATTTAATAAAATTCAACAGCCATTCCTGGTTTTTAAAAGTTTAAATGAAATTGGAATTGAAGTAAACCTCTTAAAGATGATGAAGACTACTAAAAATCAACTTCAAACATCAATTAACTGAAACTCTTTGACTTTATACACCTGTAACATGTCAAAGCTCAATGTAAATAAACCTCACAATCCAGTTCTCCTTTAAGTATCAGTCAGGGTTGTTGGACAAGAGAGACACTGGTGTAAACATCCAAACATTGGGTCTTTTTACCAGCTCCATCACTAGTTTTGTTATGTAATTTTAAACTCAGGATTTTATCTGAAGACATTGAATATTTGATCTTGGATAAATAATATCTCCATACTTAAGTAAATCTTTTTGTAAAGTAGTATTTGCCATCAGACACAATATGTAAAGTTTTCTGCAGTAGTTTTGGTGTGAATTTCTGTTCATTCATTCATCCCACAAACATCATTGCTGTGTGCCAGGCACTGTTCTAACTGCCATAGATACATCAGGCTGCAACAGAAACTGAGATGACTATCACAGATCACTTGTGTCTAGTATCTCAGTTTAGAGGTAGACTCCTACAGTAAATAAATAACTAGAAGCAATAAAATAGCTGATACAGGGGGAAGTGGTTAACTGGCAAAAGGTATTAGGGACTACATCATAGAGGATAAAATTTAGGGGGCTAAATCTCAAAGGTTAAATATGAGTAGAAATGGCAGACAAAGGACGAACATTCCAGTTAGAAGAAACACTATTCGCAATAAAAATTAAGAATGTGAGGAGTAAGTCATGAAATTTCTAAACAATTCAGAAAACTGAGTAGTTCTTTGGCTGCAACATAAGTCATTAAACAAGAAAGGAATTAAACAATGAAAAGCCTCATGTGATAATTTAAGAAGTTTCTACTTTATCTTTCTGTCAATTTGGAATCACAGAAGAATTTAAAGAAGACAAGTGACATGATCAGATTTACACTTTAAGAAGGTCACTGACGGATGGGTTAAGATTAGACAGAAAGAGGGTGAAAAGGAGTCCAAGAGATCAGTTTGGAAGTTATTACTACAGTCTGAGCCAGTTGTTCCCAGAACGGGGCATACAACTCAAGGGATGTGCAAGACCATCCACTGGGGGCAAGAAGAAATACTTGAAATTTTATTTGTATTTATTATTAAGCTTACATTTTTTTCACTTTTTTGTGCAATTTTATAATGTATAAATATTAATACAATGGTGCATACATATAATTATTTATAAATAAATCTATAGTTATATCAGGATTTCAAGCTAAAAAGCATTAGTTAATGGGGGCTTGATCAAGAAGAATCAGGAGTTTTAGGAATGATAGGTAGGGATGGGAAGAGGGGAAAAAGATGAATAGATAGATGTGAAGGATTTTGAGGTAAAACCACAAAACTTGGAAAGTTTTTGGATTCAGAATTAGATAGCGTAGAAATATTTAGTAGTATCATTTCCAACAGTTTGGTCATTAAGACATGTCATTCCCCAACCTTTGTGTTTTCACAGAACTTCAGACTTGAAAACATTAAAGGTCACTTTGTTTTTGTATTTCTTTTCCTCAGAATGGTTCGCAGGTTCATAATGAGATTTATTTTTAATTTAAAAGGAAAAAACAGCCCCAATCCAATACTGAAAATTAAATTACATGGAATATATCAGAAAACATAGTATTGAGAGTAATGTGCATGGCATTAGCTCTACCTGTTCCTTAATAAAAGACCACTTTTGTAAAGTGCTACAGCGTTGTCACCTCAATGCTCCCTTATTGAGCTGCTTCTGTGCTATGTTGCTTGTGGTAGGTAGTAACACCAGTTCTTTTCACAGCAGGCTTACGTGGGTGAATTCTAGTGGAATTGATTTCTTACTGAGATATATTTTCATCCTGTGATAACATGGGATTTTAAAGGAATATTAAGCCATAGACAAACCTCAAGTATATCTGATAGCATGTGATATTTTCCTGTTTCTTTTCATGTTTATAGCAAGAATCCCTATAATCTTTTAGCTATGCCATATATTTTTTAAAAAATCTAAATGAAAAGAATGAATACTAGTTACAACGTGAACATATTCTCATTGAAACAGAACCAGAATGGGTTCTCAGCTAGACACCAAGGAGAGGTAAAGAACAAGGACGTTCGTTGCAACCTGATTGACAAATGTGGAAAAAAATGGAAATAAACTAAATGTTCATGAGATGAATAAGTAAATTGTGTATCATTATACAATCATTAAAATGTATCTGAAGAGTTATCAATAGCTTGGAAAATGCTTATGTTTAACAGTTGTGTAAAAATATCAAACCAGCTTTAAATAGTATATATAGAATGATAAAAAATGTGTACATTAAGGGCTTGAGAGAAAGTGAGCAACAATGTCAAGAGTGCGCCACATTGTTTCTGGATGCTAGGACTTTGGGTGGGTATATAATTTTCCAAATCTTTGTTTTCTTTCATCATTAGAAGCTTTCATTCATAATGGGAAAAATAAATTCTGGGATTAAAACCAGAAGAAATCAGGAAAAGTAAGAGATGTTAAGCATAAAAAGGTTCATAGTTATTCTGTTCATATTATTTAACTTATTACGAGTCTACTCGGTACAATTTGCATTAGATACGTCAGTTTGGACCCACCACTCAATTGTGCAAAAAGCACCATTCTGACATTCCTAGTAGAACAATGACACACCATACACAGTTAAACACCATTCATTTACAACTCTTAGGGGCAGTTAAAGTTGTTTTGACTCTTCTGTGTTGGGCACTTTAAGTTCTGATGAACTAAACTACTATCCTAAGAAGTATGTTTACTGTTCAGGAAAAGAGAAAATATTTGGGACACAGACTGATTTCTACTTGGAAATTCAGAATCTTTCTAATTCACCTTTTTATATGCCAGCTCTCAGTTCTTGGGTTATACCTCAAAACAATTTTAAATTCAGGTGAAATAATATTCACCTGAATATTAGTTATCTCTTTAAAGTATTTTTCTACAGATTTAGCTACCTTTACTGTTTTCAACTTATAAATAAGAACAAAGGATGGTGACTATATTACTGAAAAACCACCATTCTAAACTCTTCCTTTGCTTCTCTTGATTCTATTCAAGACTTTTTAGCTTCCTCATCTTCAAAATTAAAGTTTCCATACACCGTGGATCTTAGCAGGAATCTTTAAATTCTGAGTCCTAGCTCACATGTTACTGAGCTTCCTGTTCATCACTGACCAGTCTAAACATTACCAGTGCAAAATGATTTTCTTTTTCAGTTGGCAAAACAGTTCACTAAACACTGCTAACCTCCTTAATAACCCAAAGGAGTTAATTTTGGCTTACACAGATATTTACTTCTAGACAGTATTTGAGGCAAGGAGACTGTGACTCAATGAACAACATGCTTACTCTCTGATGGAAGTGTGGTGATACTCATGTTGGCTTACTGCCAGACTAGCAGACTGGCTAAGTAACAAATATGCTTAGCCATCATTGCATTCTTTGCTTTACAAAGAAATATTATGATCTCCCAATTCACTAGGGATAATCTGAGCAGAATATCTTTCCAATATCATCAGTGCAAACGTGTTAAGCTAGTTCTGACACACTAAACAAAATAGCACTAAAGAAAATCAACAGAAGCAGTACTGGGAGATTAAAAGAATGATAAAGTACTTGATCTTGCAAATATGTTGGAACAGTATTTAACTCCATGAACTGTATTTGCAATTGGTCATACAAGGGTCTGGTAAATTGCAGAGGGATAAGGCAGATTGTGGGAAAGACTGTGACCTAGAATTGGATGTGGCCCTGTGATAGATCAAATGCTGCTGATATAAACCAAGCTGAGATGGGAGAATTCAAGCTAGAGGACTGTAGTGACATAACAATGGCCAAAAGGATTTCAGGAACAAATTGTATCCAGTTATCTCAGCAGGCAGGGGCAGGTGATTTTAGTCACCAGAGTCCTGAGCCGACAGCTGAACACTAGGGTCTAGCGTGAATACAGGTCCCTGCTGGTAGAAGAACAGGAATACTACATGGGTAATTGAATAGGGACTTGGACTGTGCGATGAGCCAAGAAAATCAAAACCAGGATAGAAATGGAGATGGTCTTTTTTCCTTTACATTTAAAAAAAACTT